CTATAAAAATGTTTAAGCTGCTTATAGTGACACCGCGAAAGTTCAATATATTCATCAAAAAATTAGCGCGTGAAAGATTAATTTTGTATACCAATTGTTAGTTTCTTAATGATAATTGGAAGTAATAAGTGTATTATTTTACTAAATTACGATTAAGTTAATTTTAAGTAATTGCTGATGTAAGTAGTAATTGTCTAATTCTTTCATTATTTCTTGATAAAATTTTTTTCAAATTACTAATAATTATCGTAAAAATTTTAACGATTTATCTTTTATCAATTTGCATATAAAAATTACACTAAAAGTAACTTCTTAATAAATTCAAAAAGTTAAAAAGTTTTTGCAGGTTAATAATAGGAATTAAAAATAGCGCTTGTTACTTAAATTTTTAACGATTCCATTAAGCATAATTTGAATTGCACTATTTATTTTTAATTTCTTACTAACATTTCGACTTTACATGTAAAAATAAAAAAAAATCGATTTTTCGTTAGTTTGCAGAAAATATAATTTAAAAAATGTGATTTTTGAATAATTTTGTTATTAGAATTATAAGTCAATCGAGGAAACCATTACTAATAGTAATATATTATGCAATATTCTACATAAATGACAGAAAGGCGTATTTTGTGATACTAAAAATTCACTAAAAATGACTCGCAAATATGCATATACGATTGTAATACGTGCTGTCTTAATCGGATAGAGACGAATCCTCGTATCGGTCGTTGCTTAACGAGATTTAAATTGCAGTATTTTATGCGCGGATTCTTCGTTCGATTTTTTTTGCCGTGTCATGTCGAAATTCGAAACCGATTAAAGTAACATAAGAACCGCCTGAGTTACTTGATTTTTTGTGTTCAACTGTCACCGGTCTTGCTGCAGAGAAATAATCTTGCAAGTATTTGACAGTGTAAATCAACATCAATATTTATATGTATTCTTGATACTAAATTACGCGTCTTCTACATTTTGTTGATGTTACAAGCTGCTCTCCAGGAATTACATATTTTTCTTCCATTACTTCATTGTGTAGTTTTTTGAGTATTCATTCTTTTTTATAGTTTGATATTATTTCCTTTGTTATTTTTTAATATTATTTAAATTTTATAACATTTGTATTTGAAGTATTGTAAAAAACGACGATCATTCTGAAAGAGTAATATGAGATGTATTAAAGAAAAATAAATCCTCTCGATGTTGCATGATTTCACGTATGTTGTATATATTAGACGCCGTAATAATATTCGAGAAAACAAGATGTAGAAATTCTGTTTTTTAATATAAGCAAAGCATTCTTATCTCTAATAAAAAATTTTCAATTTATATCTTTTTTTGGAACAGCTGGTCATATTTACATTTACATAAAAAAACAAACCTAATTGAATTCTTACTAATTTTTCGATATCAAATATAAAAATTTTACAAATAATTCTTCGACTGTTTCTTACAGTACAATGTGTGATGCGTTTATATGAAAGAAGTGGAGCGCAAAGAAAGACATGAAGTATTATTTAGCCCATATAATGTTATACGCGTTTGTCTTTATCTTCTCTGCTTAAAATGAAACAAGCATACAGACATAGATATTCACTTTTTAAAGAAAGACGGAAAGAGAAAGAAACGGAAGAGAGGATAAAAGAAAAAAAAAGCGTACGAAGTGTATTTAGAAAGAATGGTCTCATTGTTAGCGGGATTCATACGTGGGGGGGAAAAAAAAAAAAAAAAAAAAAAAAGCGTGCGCAAGCGCGAGCTAAACCAGAAAAGTGATGCAACGCCTCTAATTTACAATGCAGTTATCCATACATTTTACAACTCGTTAATTGCGTTATCGACATACCGATAAATTAACGATCACGAGAGAGTCAGTCGCGAACGTAATGCATTTATCAAAGCGGTTGAATCCATCCTGCCGAACGTAGCCAATTGTTCCGTTATTGCTCGTTAATAATGAATAAAAATCACTTAATTTGTAATTTCTAAAAACCGTACAATTGCGATTTTTTGTGTCATAAAATCTACGTGAAGTATTCCCCGTTCAATTACATAAGCGAGTAAATAAGTAATTTTGTGCGTGTGTAACTACATAGTTATTATCTCAAGAGTTTTGATACAAGATATAATGTTTAATTGATTTGCTTGCCGGGGTCTTTTAAGATATACTATATGTATGTTTCGATGTACAGATAATACCTACTGAGAAAAAAATGTTGTGATTAAAAAACAACAAAAAGACGTAACAAGAATATTATTTTGGTGAGACAAAACAAAATTTCTGTTTATCGTGTAACCAGAAATTCTGTCATTTTTATCAGGCCTTTTTGATTTAATTAGAACATTTTTCTCAGGCGATAAAAATAATTTACTTTAGTGGTAAGTTCAATACGGTATCAAAAGTTTTAAAGAGTTTTTTAAAATGACGCGTACACAATTTAGATAACAAAATATCATATCCTTTACATGACTGTGACACAAAAGTTTGAGATAAGATTTTACATTGTCAACATATATTTAATACCGAAAATTAACTTGCATTGAATGACTTTTCAAAGTTCTTGCTAAAGTCATCATTCAATGCAAGTTACTAAAAGAAGAATTACACATTTTTGTTCTAGTACCTATTTATTTAGCTGACAGTTGCAATTGAGTTAGTATTTGTGCATACGAAATTATTAATTTTTTATCTATGCATGATCTCTGATGAAAACGAAATCGGAAACACGATTTTGGGAATTAAACACGAATTACGAATAGAGATTTGATAAGATAGGACCGATAATTTCGGTACACCCTCTACATCGCTGTATAATACCTTACTCATTATTGTGCGCGCGATTATCTATTATCTTTAGGCACTTTGTTAGCAGCCGATTCCCCGGTTTATTATAACGCTGCCCTGGCGTGTGTCGCCATAAAGGAATTTTATTGATTCGGGGGAAACGAACCGAAAAGGCATGCACAAAGGGCGAAAGGGAGGCTCGCGTCGTCGCGCGCGCGCGCGCTTGCGCGATAATAAACTGCGGCGCGGCCGCAATGAGTGTGAGAAAAAAAAAAGATGATCTCAAGGAATCGCACGCTGCATTACGCTGCCGGGAGTACTTCAAGGCATTATTTCGAGTCGCTCTTGTGAGCCCTGCGTATTTATAGCAGTAATTTATAGCCTCGGTAAATTCAATTTCGATAAAGGAAGAAAGAATAATTGCAATGGTTGAAGCCTCGCGCGAAAGAGGATTCAGATAACGCGAAGGTCCAGAAGGACCGCCGCTTGAAGAACTGTTAAGCTCGATATTAACCTGAAGCTTAATATCGAGTGAATTAAAATGTGCTTTAGACATCCCGCGAGACTTGAACCATTTATTTTATTTCTCTATCTTTCTCCGAGGGTCTGTTACGTTTAGTTATCATTTTATAGAACATACTATGGTATGAAATGTAACGTTAACTTAATGGGTCTAAAATGTCTGCGATAATCAAAAGATTGAAATATCAAATCGAAACAATAATGGATTACGTACCATTGCTGGATGTTTAATGTTAAAATTTATATAACAAATATTCTAAATAGATAAAACAAACATTTCGATCTCCATCAGGCCATTTATAGTGTTAGATGTCAGTTGAAAACGGTAGATATAAATATTAAGTCAGTTGAAATGTATTTTTTACACAGAAAGAATGATTTTGCTGGAGAATCTAGAAAGTTAAATATAGATTTGAAAATAATTTAATTTGCTGGACTGTCAAAATTATTATGTAGACGCTCAGACATAATGAATGTTGGAATTTTTTAATATTCTATTAATTAGTTTTAGAGTTTTACATAATGTTTGCTTGATGATTCAAACATACATATTTCAAACAAAATTATTTTTAGATATTTATCTGTATCTAAATTTTTAGATATTTCAGTAAAATCATTCTTTCCGTGTAAGAACTTTTTTTTAGACCTTTAGAAACGCGTTCAACCGAGCGAATTGAATTGTCTGCGAAAAGTTCAACAATTAGATTTTTCAACAGTGTGAATGTCGAGTCGATTTCCTTTCATTAATGCAGAGCCATTTCGCACATTTCGTAAAGACCTTATTACCAATTCCAAATTTCCTGAGAATTATTGGTCTGTTTTCTGTGGCTGAACTAGTATTTTGTTTGACATTTCTGAAACATAAAAGTGAGATAGGTATATATCTTGATATTTATCGAAAGCATAAAAGAATTCTAGTGTCTAGAAAGTGTAGGAACAGACATGTATCTCCGTATTGAGTTTCCATCAATTTCGAGGTAATAAACGAGCTACGAAAATACGACGTAAGTATTGTAAAAGGAATATCAGTGGCGACGTATCATACGCAATGAAGAGACAGTATACTACGTACACGCACAGAACGGATGAGGCAATAGAATTGAAGGGGGTAAGGGAGTTGAAGGGGCGGGGTAGTTGAAGAATCGCACGCGTGGCTTTCGTCCACGTGCAGCAAATTAGTTAAGCGCGGGCTCGATTATTTGAAGACGAGCCATCTTTGCGACGGCGACAGAAAATTTGCCGAGAAATATCTCCGGCAAACGATAGGGGGTACGAACTATGAGTATTATGATATTTGAAATTGATGTATTTTTTTTCTCTCTTGCTTTGGCAATGATTACTTGATAATGATAACTACAGCTGTGAGGTGCCATTGCAGTTACGATTATTGATGTTACGGTGTTATATCGATATATGAAAGGCGATATTATTTATTTATTGAATATTTTTGAGACGAGACTTTTATTTTGAATTATTTTCTTGCAAGTATTTTTAGTGAAATTCAAGCTATTTACACAATTCTTTAATTGATAAATTGCTTGATACAAATAAAGACGGCAGAAATATTTCTAGAATTTTATTTCGATAATATCGATATCTTGATACATTTAAGAATTTGTTACTTTTTTGTAAGATTCGTATGTCTCATATCTTCCGATGTACTTTTTTGTTTAATTTTATGATCGCGCTTTTGTTGCAGGCCTGGCCCGTGTGAATTGCAAGACCCGTTGTGGGTCAAAATGAGTGCGATTACCAGCGGCATTACCAAGAAAAGAAAGAAATCAGATGCGAAGCCTCAGTCGCAGCTGTGAGTATCAATCTCTTGTTTTTTTATTTTTTCTTGCGGTACAAACTCGGATCTGCAATCTGGACGGTACAATGAATGAATACCCGCGTTTCACATCGCATATTTGGCATTTTTTATCAAATGCGACTATGCGGTGAATAAAAATAATTATTAATATTAAAAGCATCGTTTAATACAATTCTTCAAAAATATTCTTACAGACAAAAACAAATAATTATATTAAATGTATGAAAAAATATGCAAAATTAAGCTCTTTTCCTTATTGTATTTTTCCATTAATCGATTGTTACATGATTCCTTCTTTTATTATTATGTAATGATTTTGTTGCGTAATTAACAATTTTAATATTACAATAATCGCGATGCAGTAGTTGTGTTATAATGAAATAATAAAAACAATGAGACAATCAAAATTTATACTTTATAATCGGTTATTTTAATTAATTTAAAAATAAATTTAATTTCGATTAATGGAAAAAAGGATTAAAAGATGAATATCAGTGTCCCATTTTGTTTTCTTTTACGCGTAATATTGTTTGTATTCGAAAAATTAATATCGCCAAAAGTTTTTATCGTTAAAAAAATTACGAAAATCCAGTTTAATTTAATTTCAATAAAATATTTAGCAAAATATTTTTTATTACATTGCTAATAATTTACGTAGCAATATTACAAAATAATATAAAAGAGGAAGGATGAGGGAAATAAGGTAAGAAGAGTATGGGAAGAAGAAAAACTGCTTTGAAAAACTGCTTTAAAATTGAATTTTTTTTGATGAAGCACAAGTAAAACGTGACAACTCTGGATTCAAATTAATTAACTTTGGGTTAGTTTCTTAATGAATTTTTATTAAGGACTAGATGTCCGAAATAAAAACGTATGATTTTAAAGTGGAAACCATTAAAGGCTTGGTGATGCGTACAACGCCGTCCATAATCCGTTGCCATCCATTTTGCTAAAGAGCTTATCGTTTTGATCGAATTATTAATAACGAACACAAACACGCAAGTTTTTGAGCATTCGCTGATTGAACAGGCTTTAATGTTAAAGTAATGTTTGGTTAATGTCGCGCATGAATAAAATTTTATTAAATTGTTGTGTAAATTTCATCTTTGTGTGTTTACATATAATATGGAAAATGTAATCATTGTTTCGATAACAATTGTGTAATATATTAGTAATTATTAATGGGCTATTGTTTAATTTCATGTTAGCATCAATAACCAAACATTGGTGATTATTTGCATTCATAAAAATTAATTAACCGATAGAAAAAGAATGAAATTTATAAAATAGTATATTTAAATCTAAAACTGATTTTTTAGACGATTTTATCACATATAAAAATGTCAAAAAGTTACTAAATTTGATATATTTAAATCTCGTTTTACTCTATAGAAGTTGATATTCGATCTTAGAACTCGAAATAAGAATAACAATGTTAGGAAAAATTGTTTTCCCAGATGATAAATTAGAAATAATCTAAAGAAAGTAATAGAAAATCATCTGTGTAAAATTAATACTTCTTAGAATTTCATTATTGATAAAATTCTGAGTCTTCTTTCTCAAAGAGGTTTAAAGTTTCTTAAAAAATATTTTTTTTTTATATCATAGAATATCCATTAATATTATTAGGTGTTGGAATTAATTCGTAGCGTTTTTAATGAAAGAATGTTATAATATTTATTTCACATGAGCATTAAAAAATACATTAATGAAAGTACTTCCCATCACTTGTAAAACGCTACGAATTAATTCCAATACCTAATAATATAATAAGTTTGTTGTATTTGTAACGTGGAAAGGAAAGTAAACGCTAAAGTTATATCGCTTTTACTTTTGATTTTAATCCTATGATTTTGCCGCGCAAGTACGTGGCTGGATAGCAACTGGCAAGACAGTATTAAAATTGCAGAGTGGCATTATAGTAAAGCGAGAGTCTGCTGGACCGATGTGACGTCACGCAAGGTCAATCAAACGTTCCAATGGGACAAAAAGAATTGGTTCAGCATTTAAAAAAGAAGATAAAAATTTTCTTTTTTATAAAGTTTCGAAATTCCTTCGTGAGATTTTTATTAATGCTTCGCGATGTTTTGTTATGCGTCCAGCATGTACAGAAATTTCAGGTCTGTAATTTTAGTAATAAAATTTTTGACTTATTTGGGGTTAATGCTTTCTCGAGTCAAACGTGAGGTACAGCTAATTAAATTTTTTTTAGAGTGATTCAAATTCGAATATTTACCGAATTTTAATTTGATGTTTAAATATTGGGACATGAATTTAAAAAATTACAACAATCACAATCGAAATTTTTTGTGAGGAATAATTTGGAATCCGGAATCTGTTATTAATTGCAAAAGTGTAAAATGTATGACAAACTGTGTCAGAATAAATTTATGAGTCGATTATATAGAAAAACTTTATACTTTTCTTATCTTTCATAAGACGAACGAGAATGTTCTTTGACGCGATAAAACCGGGGAAAACTTTAGTCATAGAAATAATAGCGATTTATTCTGAGGTTTATGATTTATTATAATTAATAAATCTAATGACTTCTACTTTAAAAAAGTATCAATACAAAGATATAACTTGGAGAAATCACATTTATTAGGTGTTGGAATTAATTCGTAGCGTTTTACAAGTGATGGGAAGTACTTTCATTAATGTATTTTTTAATGCTCATGTGAAATAAATAACATTCTTTCATTAAAAACGCTACGAATTAATTCCAACATCTAATAAAAATAATAACAAAGAGATAATCTGTCAATGGCACTTTTATTTTTTATCTAATTTTTGAAAACGAATGTTTTAGACAATTTTTTGACACTTATATTTATGCATAAATATTAAAAATAAAACTATATTATCTTGAATATTTTCTTATATGATTACATATGTTAGAAAATAATGTTTTAACATTTTTAAACAAAAATTCGTTAAGCATAATGAAATGCAATTTTTCAAATAACATTTAAATAACTAATTAGTATTTAATGAAATGTAATATATATTTAACTAATCTATTAACTTAATTACTTACGACATACATAATTTCAATAATTGCCAGTAGTTTTGTCATTTTGCATTCGTGTCTTTTAGAGCTGAATATATAAGCGCACTCCTTCTAAAATAGCGCTTTAATTCTGCGTTTCGATTGTTTACAGTAACAAGTGCCTTAACGAAAAAAGACGACGGACCCAAGAGAACTTGTATATCGATGAGCTTGCCGAGCTGATTTCCGCCACGGACATGAGCTCTGGCAAGACTGACAAATGCCAGATCCTTCAAAAAACCGTCGATCAGGTAAGAAGACAGATTTCTCTCCTTCCTTACAAATATGATTGATAACAGTGTCATTGGAGAGCATACCGTCGATATTTCGTTAGTATTGTCTTTTCTTCTTTGGAAGTATCACTGCATATCAGTTTGAGTGACAAGATTAGGAGACCTGAAATCATAGAATTATATAGATTACGATTCTTAAATAAATGCTCAAAACAAGATAGATGTTATATAGGTAAAGTACTGTAGAATTTTGTAGTGATATTAGTGATTATCAGTGGAATAATATATAAGAAATTATTATTTTTCGTATCCTATTATTTTAATTCCTTAGATAAGATAGAAAGATAATTTTTTTTTAAAAGCGATTGCAAATGTAAAAACATTGTAATGATAGAAATTTTGTTTTACTTTATTAACGTGGAAAGAGATTTAAATACTGAAATTAAATCGCTGGCACAAAAGGTTATTTAAAAACATTCACGTTTCATTCGCGAAATTATATATACTTTTATCGTTCCCTCGGTTCATAAAATTAAAGTTAACTGTTCGATGTTAAAACAAAATGGCCATTTTTATGATGATCGTCAAAGGACACTTGTGAAGTCTCTTTTACTTGGAGATGCGTAATAAAATTTTTTAGATTAACGATATTATTTTCATAGTTCTTTGTAATGTGTCCCACGTGTATACGAATTTTATCTTCTCGTACGCGTCGAAAAGATATGAGGTCATTTTATATAATTCAGATAGATAGCTTACGTAACTCATAGAAGACGATCGGAGAGAATCTCCTCTTCTGTCATCATTTTTCCTCGGAAATCGATCAGCACATATTAAATGTTGATCGGCGTTGTTTTCGAATCGCGAAGACGTATCCATGCAAGCATGATAAAATATTTGGGAAAGCACTTAAGATTATTGAGAGATTTGTGGACCGAGCAAAATCTCTCTTATAAAGGTCACCTTATTTTATAGATGACATATATCGATCTAAACGAAAGAAAGAACGATGCTATTTTTGAAAATCATATTACATCGTCAGCTTAATGAGAATTTTGTATAACATTAAAAAACTCGTTCTTAATGAGCTTCACTCGACACTTTCTGCTAGCCAATCCTTACATTACGAAATATTTTATTTGATTTATTTGAAATATCTTATATAGTGAATCTTCGTTTACAATCAAATCCATACACGGACAATAGCTAGATACAGTTAGCTAGATACAGATCCGAAAGTAATTTTGTTTAAATCATTAAAATAATTATATAAGATGCTTGAACTAAGTTACTAGAATATTAACATTTTTGCAGTGTTGTCATTTATGTATCCTACATAATTATGGCATCCTGCATAGGATATATGGAAGACATTATTCGTTAATTCATATTTTTGAGAAACATTTATTTTAAGTCTGTCGCAGGCTTTTATTCTCGGTTATATAACTTGGCAATTAAAGATTTTTTTTAGGATAGAATTTTAATATTTAAGAATATTTTTATTATTTCATTAATTTTTTGCTTAATTTTCAACGTATATAATCCGATAATTATGTTTTGATTGATATTTCTTCTAAAGATAGATTAAAATCAATGCAAGGATGAAATTTTATTGTTATATTTATGACATTCGTTCTATATTCACGAATTTCGTTTTTTAAATTGTTCTCTTGTATTACGAAATTAAATATTATGCGTTTATTATACAAGATTTTCTTATTTTGTCATTTTTGTCTCTAAATAATACAGAGTTTAAATTGAACTACTTATTTACTTCTGTACACAGTAAATTAATGAGATATTCTTTTCACTGTTTTAATTTATGTCATTTAGTATTAATCTTATTAATCAAACTTTGAAGTTAAAACTTTATTTAAATGAAGTCTCATTGAAATCAAATAAAGAGTAAGAGCTGATAGCTTTAGTGCATTTTCATTTTCTGAAGAGGTCAGTTTCCGAGGAATTGCTTATTTTTAATCGCTAATTCAGAAGCTATTTCTACTTCGACAGTTTTCTTAAAGGAAAAATTAACTTTGAATTGGTCCTTAAATAAGTTCACAGCGAAGGCTCGGAAGAGAAACATCCCATCAATAACATCGTTGTATTATTGTAGTTACACCATATCATGCACTACATATCGGTTCTGTTGACATTGCTCGTAGATAATTCCGTGTCTCATTCTTGAGTTCTCTTGGGACAGGTTCTCTTGGCTGAGGTGTTTGAATAATACGAGAAAATCTTGGATCTGAATTTTCTGGTGGAAAAAGTCCCTGCGTTACTTTCATTTTTTTTTTTAATATAACTAGTTCGAGAGTTATCTCTCAATCATCCGATCGTTTTCCGATTTTTGAAGTTTGCGCATAATATTACGTGTCTAATACGGAAATTCATGCTTCGCGTTATTAAGAAGACATATATGTATGTGCATATATCGATATTTTTTCTTTGAGTCCTTCTTGCGTAATCGATTCCGCTCGCATTTCGTATGCAATTGGATCTATAATGATTAAACTTATATAAAAAATTTGCAACACACGGTTAAACTGAAATAATAATCTTACAAATTAAATTTGATCATCGATTTGAAGAATTCTTGTTGCGAAAAAAATATTACCTCAGCTGAGATATATTTTATTTATCTGATTAGATACGAAATCGTTGCACAGAGAGACATGCGAAGGTTGGATCCAGATCAGAAACTCGAATATGTCTTTCACAAGGCAATGAATAGTATTTCCTTTGAATGGCAGTATTCGATATTATATATTCTTACCATAAGCCTTTTTATGAGAAGGTTCTATGGTCCAACACGTCTATTGGCTGTCTTGAAACCTGTTCTGAAAACTAAAGCAGCGTTCACAATGAGATTTTAAGGCGTAAAATGTAAGCTTTAGGGACGGCATTCGTAGTTCGTTCTTATTTTAAGATAATCTTAAATAATATCTTAAGATGCTAATTCTCCGATTGGTTCATGACCTCTTGAAATGAATATAAGATCCGACTATGATACCTAAATCTTAAATCATAAGAAATTGACTAATTGTCGATTATTCTCCTCACATTCGACTGTGATTAGTTTGATGATCAATTTTTGGCTTAATATCTTTAAGGAATTTAACGTAAGGAATTGGTTTAAATTTAATCTTTTAATATTTAACAGTGTCAAATTTTCATTACCAAAGTAAAGCCTTGAATAAGTATGTGCACGCGCGCGAGAACATACATAAAATTAGATACGTGCTTCATAATATATCTCTATATAATGCATCGTGCTTTTTCTGCCCAAGATTGTTCTGAATCTGAGTGAGCGAGCTAATCGTACGTTAAAGTAGATGAAATTTAAAAAAAGAAGAAATGATATGCACAGCAGGATCGTCGAGATGGATTTTTGCATTTCAAATGTAATTCACTCGAGTCAAGCGCTCTTATGAGTTAACTCACGTTTGCATAACATCGGACTATTTTTCGGGGTTCATTTTATCTTGGCGGAAATTTGGTTTGATTTCCAGCCTGTTATTATCTCTAATAATCGCGCCGTTTATTCCGCTCGAAAGGTCGAAGACGCAATTACGGGTGTATTTCTTCTAAACCGATACGATTAATTTGCTAACGATATATACCGATAATTACAGGTCTCAGGTCCCCTTTGTTAAACCGTGCTCTCGCTTCATTTATTGGCTAAACGAAGCAGCAGTTGCATAACGGCTGCTAAGGCTAAGCCCTTGATTCACTGACAATATAACGAGCGAACCTATATTCGTATTAGGCCCGGTTTTTCATCATCTGATTAACTTGTGGTTTAGACTTAACTTCATTTAACTTGATGATAATGTAAAAATTGTGTTTTTCTAGCTATGATTAATCACTAAACTCATGATTTTATATGTGATAACTTTAAAGTTAATCTAGTTAAGCCTGTAACTATAAGTCAACCAGCAAATGCAAAACCAAGCCTTAGGTACATTTTGTTAGGAGAAGATTCTAAGATTTTAGGACATAGGAATTTTATAGGACTATAATGTATGCCTAGACTAAAGCCTGCCGCACACGATGCTTTTTTGTGCTGGTTTGGCTGATAGATCCGTTATGTGCCGTTTTGTAGATCGTAGTACTACATACTGCTGTGGAAGTGTTGCTAGTCATGGCTTTACAACATGTAGCTTGTCTTACGAGTTGGCTTATAAATACTGTCTATCTCCTTTGTATATTCTTTTAATCTAATTCTTTATCTATCTAGCAGTAAATTTCATAAGAAAAATGTTCTTAGCTTCGAGCGTTCTACTATGTCTCTTGATAATAGCCCTTAACATTCTACTATGTCTCTTGTTAGCACTGAATCTATCATTGAAAACCAACTAATGTTAGCACACACGGTAGCATGCAGTACGCTATACTTTTAGCAGCATACATGTTTTCAACAAGGCTGTTAGTGACTAGTCTAACGCCTCGTATTCTGTATGCAAAAATCGCATCGTGCGTTGCAAGCTTAAAATTGCGACGCACTCAAGAGATGCTATAAACTTTTCAATTAATTGACTACTCGAAAGAAAGAATTTCACTATTGACCAATAAAAAAAATGACTTATCTTAAGCAATAAGTTGTCTTTCATACTGATGATACTGACATGATGATTCGACGTTACGTAATCAAAATTAACTCTTGATATTTGTCAATTTTTATTATGTGATCTATTTTGTCGCTAAAAATCAGCGTCGATCGTCAACATGAAAAGGCACCTATAAGCATTTTGTTTTAACCTGTTAGCCTATGGTTTCAAAAAGAATAGCGTTTTTATGTAGTACGTTATGTCGAGAATCGATATGTAATAGGAAAAATAATGAAAATAAAGTAAAATGTTAATCTTGCTCTATTGTTTCGATAACAGATTCGATTTATAAGTTTAGATAAATCGTATATTATTGCGTTCTACGTACGTAGTTATAATCTACACTCTGTACTTTGGATTTGAAAACATACATCTATTTGGTTTCAAACGAATAGATATAAACAATATTCT